GGAAAGAACCAGCCCTCTTATCACCAGCAGCGACGACCAGTCGTGGATACAGTTCCTTTAGAAACTTCATTGCACGTGGACCCCACGGACCGATAGTCTCTACAGCAAATGGCAAAAATATGTAGTCATTTCTCAAAGACTCATATTTGCGCCATTTACTAAATTCGGCTGCCTCTGATGCCGCCCCGGCTCTACAACAGGTACCCTTGAGATGAGAGGCCGCCAAAGTGTCAACGCAAGTAGCATCCCACACTAGGGCTTTACCTCTCTCCCAAGGGACCAAAGTCATACCGTCGGGTCTCTTGCCATCGTCTCTAAATATCCCGCAAGGCTCTAAAACCGAGGGGATATTTATAGAGACAAGAGCCCTTCGGATGATTTCGTTCAAAGAACCGTGACGGGAAAACCTACCTGCACTTTTTTTGGCATGAAAGTCCGTGGAGCCCAAACTCATCGACGCTGCTACCACAGGGGCACTGGTGAGGTTGACAAATAGCCACTCCTAGCCGGATTCCTACGGCGATGCGCAAGCTTTCCCCATCAAGCAATGTGCCGAGATTACTTGATGGTAGAGCATGTAACCAGTGGCTAGATTCCTTAGTCGAAACAGCTAGAAGGCGAGCCTGATCTTGTTGAATATGGAAATTTTGAAATAAATTTTTGTGGACACTCCGTACCAACGGAATATCCCACTGTTTTTGTTGGTTATCTTCCAGTGGGACATTTTCGCCGGGACAGAGCGTTAGCCATATTTGCTTTGCCTCCGCAGCAAAGCATAGGTCTACTTTATTATTTAAAATTGTGTTACATAGGTCATTAACACTATGCACGGAAGCAAGGAAAGCAGGCAATGCGACGCTAGAAATATTTCTTATACCAATTCCACCAAATTTCATAGGTAAAGTGGCTTGATTCCAGGCTATTGTATTTAATCTCAAATTTAGAATGTTTTCTAAAGCAATTTTAAGACTATTATCAATATCTTTTAAAATATCCGAACATTTCCAGACTGGACTTGAGCGTAACAAGTATGTAAATTTAGGTACAAGGACACAATATTTTAAAATAGTAAGGGCAATATGGGGGTTTAAAATATATAATTTATCAACGTGATTTAAAAATTGATCAAATTTTGTTTTTAAAACAGGTTTAATACTATCGAAAAACAACGGAGCACCAAGCAGGTAAAGCGATTCCGAATTGACAGTTTTTATTCCTGGAGAAATCTGATTGAAATTTTGAATTAAGGTATCTCTTTTAGAATTAGATAAATTATTAGAAATAAATATTTCACATTTATTTGTATTTGGTTCAAGACCAATATTTTTAAAATTTTGAAAAATATGAGTAAGATCATTGAGGACGTCATCTGCTTTACCTCCCAGTGTACCGTCGTCCAGATACCAGACATTCAGCTTGGATTTTAAATTTGAAATGATAGGTTGAATTCCCAAACTGAAAAGTGCTGGACCTAATGGATCACCCTGCTGAACACCGACAGCAGACTCAATAATATGGTTTTGATAAAACAAGTTTGAATTTTGACTGTAACATTGCCAAACGTAATGATATATTTCGGGGGTATTGTTAGCCACTTCTTTCAGCAGGGTTATCCTATCAATAGAGTTGAAAGCATTTCTAAGATCAACCTTCAGAAGAACATCTGCATCGGAATTAGTTAAGAAAGTACGCACCGAATGTACCGCCGCCTCACAGCCACCTTTGGTGCCAAAGCCTAGTTGAGTAGGTTGAAATTTTGTCTTAAGGTTTGAGATTATGTGCCTGCAAGCTAATTTTGAAGTTAAGCGTCGAAATGTAGAACCAACAGCAATAGGACGGATACCGTTATCCTTTTTTTTGAAGGCACACAATCTTGCCCCATATAAGTAGGGAATGAAATTGGGATTGACATTACCAGAAAGCATAAAATTACATAATTTTGTTATGTCATTAAGAAGTACCCTACCGGCGTCACCGGCAGATACGCTTACAAGGTCTTTGAGATGCTGAGGCGTAATCCCGTCAATGCCGCCGGCAGAGCCATTCGAAAATGACAATATTGCGTCTAAAGTGTCTTTTTCGGAAACTTGTAATGGTTGCATAGAAGTATTAGGAGGCAGCGGTAAATTCTGGGAAAGATTGACCGAAGGATGTTTCTGACGAAGGCCTTCAAGAGTTTCGACATTACGAGGAGCGAGGATGTCATCTGAGAATAAAATACGGGATGCATTTTTTAAGTCGCCGTCCATTACTTTTGATTCAACTACTTTTTTTAAATCAAATTTAGGATAAGGTCGAGGGAAATGAGTATTAATCGGGTAATTCAAATTTTGAAAAGAATTTTCTTTTAGTTGAGACGTAATTGATTTATTTATTGTTTTACTAAAATGAAAGTGGGAATACGCGAATGTAAATAATTTTTGCCAACTTTTTTCACAATTCGTTAGACAATTTTGAATGGTTAATGATAACGCAAGTTGCATCCTGGCGCCTCTTGGAATTCTTTTAACCTTTTAATATTTTAAGATGGCGTGCATAAATGTGGTGGTTTTCTAATACAACACTATATGTAAGTAGGTACCTAGTACATTTTAGAAGTTAATAAAACAAACTTTAAATTTCTATTAGAGATGGGCCGATGGGTTTTATATTCGGTATTCGGCATATTCGGCAGTTTTACCGAATATTCGTATCCGGTCGAATATTCGGCTAAATCACCGAATATTCGTTAAAGTGGTACTAAAGGTGTCCACTGTATTAAAATTTACGAATTGAGTAATGCCATGTCTTTCATAATTTTACTGTTAAAAGTATATTTTATTAATGGGTTAAATCTACCTGTATAGCGTTATGTTTTTGAGGCATTATAGATTTCATTTCCAATTATAGCAAATAGAAGGCTTGATAAAATGTTTTTAAAATCAAACAAAGAAACATTACATTACATTAGTACAATTCACTTTAATTTGGTCGTCAGTTTCTCTAAAATAAGTCCAAAGAATAGATCTCCTGCCACTCATTTTATTATATAATGAATGAATTTTCACTAAGAATAACACAACGAAATACTTTTTCTCACAAAAATAGTCAAAACATAAGCATATACCAGCAATTTTCTCAGTACTAGATGATGCAATAACATGTCAGGTGAGGTCAGGTGTGGCGGGAGAGCTAGCGGCTGGGTTCGGCGCTAGTCCCACGCGCGCTATGGCAACAAGTTTCGATTCGACATAAATTGGTTAGGTACCGAGGTGATCCCGCCGAATAATGTTCGGCCGAATATTCGGTGCGGTAAAAGTTTTACCGAACATTCGGCCAAATATTCGTATTCGGTGAAATCCATATTCGGCCCCTCTATAATTTCTATATATCTTGTATAATAATATCGACATAGTTTTTAAAGGCGCATTATCATATAAGTATTAATTATGTTAGGTATAATTTTCTTGAACTATTATTTATTCTGTGGTATAATATAGATTTTTAAACGCAATATATCTTAATCCATTTAAATTAAAAAATTGTCTATTTTTAACACCACTGAATTTTTTTATAGGATAGGGTGACAAACTAAGCACACAGTCCACCTGACGGTAAGTGGTTGTAATATCTATCCTCGCTTAAGAATCAAAACGCAGATGCGTTGTCAAATGTCAACCGTGAGGACTAAGATGGAATGGCTCGTTTCCATTAAAAAGGGTCTCCGGTTCTTTAAACTCACCATACGAAACACAGCAGCATTAAGCTACTATTTCACGCTGGTATTCTGTGAGAGCGTGATCCTCCCCCGGTTGAGCTGACCCCTTCGGGCTGCAACTATACTACCATAATAACTGCAACATGGTTTTACCACGTATAAATACTAAATTATCATAATTTCAACTCTAATAATAAGTATATGTAATATCTAAGTTTCAAAATCCAACAAAGCCCATAAAACAGTTTTTAATATATTGTATATTATTACATTATTTAAATGTCTAACAACCTATACCAAAATATTACATCTTAAAAATATCTGGTATTAGGTATATATATATTAAAGGATCTAGGTACCTAATAGCAAAGACGTATAAACAACTTTAAAAGCCTAATAGCTCAACTTCAAAAGGGTCAGTCGCTTTCAAATTTAATTAAACGTTTGTAAAAACGGTCAGGCTGACCTTTTATTCATTCATAACAAAAATTATCGATTAAAGTTTAATTCAAACTTTAATCGATAATTTAGACCATAGATTACATATAAGTAATTTTATTCAATGTAATTATAATCAAAGGCAACGGGATTGGATTGAATCTCCATTGCTTTGATTTTGCATGTATCATGTACAAATAATCAAAACCCCCGTAATGTTAGAAAACATTTTAATTTACGATTTACTGGGTAAGATGGTATGTTTTAATATTATGATCCAAGAATGTGTTTTATTGCTATGGATTTAAGTACTAAGAGCAATTCACCCTTATACTGTAAGAAATAAAAACTATTTCTCAAGTCTGCAAAATATCAAATCGTAAACAAACAGTACTCTGCCTTTCAAACTTTGTTTTATTGGTGTCCCTTTCCCACGAACGTTTGCCGCGCATTTTATGTTTTCGAAATAAACGTTGGCGGCATTTGAAATAAGGCGCGAGATAATTTTGTTGAAGTCTGGTAAGGGGAACCTAAAAGAGGACTTGACACCTTTTTGAGATACTTCTTATACAAATATTCATGAAATAAGAATGAAAAATATTTTGCTGACTGTGAGTTACCTTAATACCCTAATATTGTTAAAATCTAATGCACATTTTATTGAAATTTAGACAAAATAAATTTTAGAATAAAATGTACGGAACATTAATGCGCTGTCAAATATAAACTCAATACCATTGAGATAAAACTGAATTTCGAGTTAACTAAGATCTCTATACGTCACGGATATACGTAGTACACGACGTTTTATTGGCTTTTCACAGTTGGCGGCAATGAATTTCTTAACCAATCGCGTTGATCGTAGATGGCGCTCGGGTGCCAACGCAAGCCGACCCAAGCTAGCTTGCTCTGGGAACATTGCTTCGAGCTCCATACATTTTCTTCTGGTTCTCTACGTCTGCAGTTTGGTTGTGTACCAGTTCAAAAATATTTCAAAATTTTTGCCATCAGGTAAGCCCTACTATTTTTTTAACAAATTGTGTGTGTTTTAATCTTATTTAGTGTTCGTATAATTGCAAGATTCGGTTAAATATGTTTCAATCCACGTTGGAATTCTTAGTCAAACATGGCTATAGGCATCTTCTTACTAGCGTAGTACGCGTGGGTATGGGATAGGACGCCCTATTTTAAATAATTAATTTCTCTGTTCTTTTTCATTAAAGGTATTAAACCGTTCTTCTACAAGTTTTAGCTTATTACTTAAGTGATTATTTTGTAATTATGACACTTTCAGTTATTGCGTATTTTCAACACAATATGTGAAAACAAAATGGCTCGTTCGACCCAAGCACAGGCCAGTGAACTCGTTTAAAGGAGCGATAACTATTTCTGTTAATTATCCCATTATGTATTAATAATAATGTATTTTACTAAACGTTTTAAAAGTAAGTTATCGAATAATAACAACGCACATTTAACAAATTGCATCCTTTTATTGTAAATATGTTTCCCGCCAAAACGCGTCCATACTGTGTCATATATGTGGTGCAGAAGCACATTTAGACCTTACTGTGTAATGTTTGATCTGCGTGACCTATTGTGAAAAGCTTTTTTCGTTTTATTTAATAAATTTAAACAATTTCAGGAAAAAAGTTAAAATGACGGACAAGCCAAAGCGTCCAATGTCAGCATACATGTTGTGGTTGAACAGTGCAAGAGAACAGATAAAAGCAGATAATCCAGGGCTTAGAGTCACCGAAATAGCGAAAAAGGGAGGTGAAATATGGAGGTCGATGACTGACAAGAGTGTATGTATATTTTTACTATTACTTAATTTTATATCACTTTCTTTATTTTCCTAGTAATAATTTTAATTTATCAGGTTTGGGAGGAGAAAGCTGCAAAAGCAAAAGAACAGTACACAAAGGATTTGGAATCTTACAATGCCAATGGTGGTGGTGGTGAAGGAGGTGGCAAAAAGGCACAGAAAAGAGGAAAGAAGGCCAAGAAAGCAGCTGCACCTGCTGTAAGACATTTTACTTAGTCTTGTCAGCTCAATCTGTTAATTTGTTTATTCCGTTACACTAATAATGCTTTCTTTCAGAAATCTAAGAAGAAGAAGGAAGAATCTGAAGAAGAGGAAGGTGAGGAGGAAGAAGAAGAAAGCGATTGATCTCCCAATTCACATGGCATTTCTGTTCATATTGAATAATTTACTTGGACTTAATTTATTACAAAGTAAAATAAAAGGACTGACTTTCCAAAGTCTGTATGCCCAATTTACCATTTTTGTATTTAAGTATTTCTTAATAATTTCCTAATTTTTTTTTTCTCAATTTCATTGTATTATACAAATAATTTTGGCTAATTTGATGAATTATTGATTGTTTTACAGACTTAATTATAACATAGCATAATGCGATAAATATATTTTGAAGTGTGCAGAGTTTGGAAAGTTCCACCGCTGGCTTAGGGTCAAGATTTCTAAGCCTCAAAAAATAATGTTTAAGTGTTAAGCATGTATACACTGGGGAATTGTACAGTTAGCCCTCCCTCGTTAAGTTCGCTGTGACACTGGATGCTCATCTTTGATAAAGTACCTTAAATGGTTTTATCAAAACTTTTATGTCTTTATATTTGGTTTATTTGTGGTAAAAGCTGTGCTTTTCAATATAAATGCCATAACTATTTTTTACTATCATTAAGTCATATCTGTTCTCATAGGACATAAGAGTTTTGGTCAATCAGTATCTCATATGTAAAATTAGAGACGATTTCATGAAGATATGAAGGCTTATTGTTAATTAAAACCTACCTCTTTTCATTATAAATTTCAATGCTGATAAGTGTACCAAACTAAAATAGCACAGAATGTGCACGTCTCACGTTCAGCTAAGAAAATAATTTAGGAAATTGATGTGTATGTTGTATTTTTAGTTAGTTAAATGGTAGGTTTCAATGTAATTAGTCTCTAAAATTTTACATTTGTGTTATTTTGTAAATGAGAATTAGCATTCCTCATGTCAATACGGATTTTACATGTTCAATAAAGTAATTTCATATAAAATTTATATTTTTAATTAGTCTTTCATTCTCATTTTAAGAAATTTTCAAAAAAATTTTTCCTTAAGATTTATTTCACAATTCTATTCAAAGCATCTTAAAACTTAATTGGACTGTTGTGTAGAAACAATCAAACCTGCAATCTGGCTAAATAATTAGGCCCTTTTTTTAATTTATTTCGAAGTGCGGGTTCAGAATTATTTTTCTAGTGAATAATTGCTTTGAGGGATTGGGAGGGGAAGGATGCTTTGAGGGCGACACGCAAGTCCCAATTTAGGATTTTTTTTTAAAACAACCTCAATATACCCTATATTGAGGTTAACTATGGTATAATGATTAACAATTATTATCTTGCGAAGCGACTACGTCTGTAACACTACTTGGTAATCCTGGGTCTAAGTCCTGCTCATAAATAAATATGTAGGTAGCAAGCTAGTCCCGTTGACGAATAATGCAGTATAATGATCGGTATATTGCTTCATGATTCGGTTGGCGTCATGCGTTGTTTTTCAAAATAGTGTTGCCAGTATACTGAACAATACATAACCAAAAGTTAAGGCCGGCTTACATTACTATAGTCATTACGAGAAAAAAAGGCTAGGTACCTACGGTTTATAAGTTACCTACGTAAGTAATGTATTGAATAATAATAAATAATGCTATGCTTGCTTACAAACCAAACATTACAAACTTTTTTAACACGGAATGTATAACATAAATTTTATTTATTGTATTTAATTTATGTATAATATATTAATTTTAGCACCCAATGTAAAACCTAAATCTAAATATGTGATAGGCATGTGACCTTTATATCAAAACTTAACTTATAACGTTATGTTATCAAAATATATATCGATACACCTAAGTACATAACAGTTACATATCGCGTATCCAACCGAAACGTAGGTACGTAAGTTACAAAACTTAAAAACGTTTACGAACGATAACGATTTAGTACCGTGCTCTTATTAGTTTTAACCGATGACCTTCGTTGATATTATGATTATAGTTGTTATTATATTATTATAGTTATTATGATTATAGTTGTTTCTCGTTCTTGCGACGGTGTCATAATAGAAAGAGATAAAGCGAATATGGATTTCGTTGCAATGTTTTGGTAGTTTTCACACACGGTGCAAAATGAGTATAGTGGATATAATTACCTTAAGCAATAAGGTCGAATTTTAAATAATTTTAATTGCCTAATTTTTAAGTTTGTGCAGTTGTGAGAGTTGTCAAATTTAAATGATTTTTATATAGTTCGGCCGTTCAGAGAATGCGTTCCTGACACGTCGCGATTGAACTGACGACGTAACTTTGTAATGGCGTTGCAGTTACGATAAAAATATTTTTGCTGGTTGTTTACCGTTTTGATAATTGATGAGCATTAAAACAACATTATTATATCAATAATCAATGAATGTTATAATTTTGTGCCAAACTGAGTAGTGCTGTGCTAAAAATAACAGGCAATAACAGTATCGTAATCTGTTCTTATACAGTTATACTTTATAAAATAATACGTTCTGTTTTTCTTTTTAAGAATTTGAAAATAATGGACTATAAGATAACTTTTATTAAATATAAAAATAAAACTACGAACAAACCGAACGCGCGGAAGAAAGTAGCATTTTTATATTTAGGCTGAAAATGGTAACCCGAAATGGCGTTATGGGCCGCAATTTTGTGACGCTACAAGTACAAGAACGTGTCTCTCAGGTGCTTGGAGTTAGCACTCGAACGATACCAAATATGAATAAAGAAAAGTTCGGCACTACTGGCACGGAAGATAATATTTTACGTACTCCGAAGAAGAAACGTAAAACTAAACTCGTGACATATATTGAAACCTTTGACGCCGATGCAATCAGAAATCATATATATGGTTACTATTCCAGAAATGAATATCTCAACAGGAATAAGCTTTTGGCATCGTTAAGAGAAGCTGGACTGTTTAGCGGCGGTAAAACTGCTGTAACCAAAATCTTAAAAGATATTGGTTTTTCGTATAAAAAACAGACAAAAGAAAAATTTTATTAGTATGATACGACATAATTTTAAAACGGATAAGTTTTTTGAGAGAAGCAAAAAATATTGATAACTGGGATAATGTCGTGTTCATTGACGAGACATGGCTAAACGCCAATCACATGGTTTCCCGTTCTTGGACGGATGATACACAAGCGTCGACGTCGAAAGTACCAATGGGTAAGGGGGCCCGTCTGATAATATGCCACGCAGGTTCTGCAAAATACGGCTTTGTGGAGAACGCGTTACTGGCATTTCAATAAAAAACCACAAATGTACCACGTACCACAACCACACCACATCGCAGCGACAAAATGTCACGTATGAATAGTGTCGCTGCAGCTTTTTGCAGTTGCGTTATGGCTATGTGACAAAATGTCGATGTGGTTGCGTTGTAGTCTGTATCACTCACCACGCAGTCTATAATGACGGCAAAAGGTGGTACATGTAAATTGTACTATTTATTTCCAATACAAAATGCGCCCTCCAACGTGTTGTAAAGGCCCTTAAATGTATTGACAGAATGGGTGTATATTTAGATATATATCAATAATAGCTATTGTAATCAAAATCATACGAAGACTTAGATAAAGATTTAAAAAATAAATTCTTAACAATGGTTTTCAATACGTTTTTATACGAATCAATTTAATTTATGTTCAAAAAAATAAAAGTAGTATTAAAAAAATTATATACACTGTGAAACCTGCAACTTCTTCGGTCTTTACCGATGAAATTACCGTTTATGAAATATGTAAACGTATTTTTTAATTTCTATTAAACAAAATAATTACACATTTCACTAAGCACACATATTTGTCAACACAGTGGGAGTTTTATAGCCTTTTTGAAGAAATGAGCTGGACGGGATGCAACTAGTTCATGAAATGCAATTTCTTCGCCTGTTTGAATCTCGGGTATTGAATTTTTTCCGGTAATTTTATACTTTCGCGGTCCCCTCGTTTTTGGCTCTACAAAAACGAAAAATCATCCGATTTCAATGAATTTTTTTTAAATCTTCGTTTTTATGGCGGATTTATGAAAAAAAATATGGAAAATATCTCACCGGAAGATTACATATAGTTTTATGACTTTAAATGTGATCATAAACGCACTTCTTCGAATATCGTTCATGACTGTTTTGCAAAGCATTAAACAAAGTGTATATATATATATATAAATATATATATATATATAACATACAGGATGTTAGTGTAAACACCGTTATCCTTGAAACCAGTGGTTTGGTTTCACTTATAGAACGTAAATTCAATGAAAAATAACAACTTTTTTTTTAGTCATATCTCAATTTTTCCTTACAATTATTTCACCCTAGGCGAGTAGGGATATACAGAATTCACAACAAAAAACTCAACATATCGTAGCGGCAGCGATTCGCGGTCAAGGCCAATGTCATTGTGTGTGTCACAGTGTTGCCGGATATAGAGGTTTTTCCTCAATCTAGGGGTTTTTGGAAGATGTTGAGGTTTTTTAAGGTTTTAATATCACGAAATTAATCTAGAGGTTTTTCTGAAGGTTTTTCACTAGTCTTACCAACTTCCGAATTCTTTTTCAAAGCGGAAACTCCCGACAATTCATTATCGATATGTAAGTATCGTAATTAATTTGTCCGTCTTATACTCATAACTTTTTCTATATTGATGTATTTAACCTACATGTGTTCGTAAAATGTAATAGTGTTGGAGATTTAGATTTGTCTGCCTTAGTAACACAAAATTTTATTGAGTAGGTGTGCAGTACTGTCTATGTAGTGTTTCCTCCCCGCACCTAAAGTGACAGACTTTTTTGTTCGTAGCATTAGGCGCATTACTCGTCCATTGGGTTGAATGGTACGTAGTACGTAGCTTGTATGTAGTAGTAACTTTTTAGTTTTGATAAATCTGATTCACACGAAATTTAACTGAATAAAAAGTCAGAGGTTTTTTATCCCCCTACATAGGAAAACTAGGGGTTTTTTTGAAAAATCTAGGGGAGAAGGTGAAAAAATCTGGCAACACTGATGTGTCAGTCTGTCGGTAGCGAATGCACGTGTAAATTTGATTAACACCCACGCCGCGC